CTAGCTTGTTGCTGTTCTTAAAATTGGGTTCTGAGAACCAGATTTTTAGAAGTATTTCAATTCCTAAGTATTTGATCCACAAAAGGACATAGATTTTTTTGATGGCCAGCATTGCATCATGTAAGGTTTTTGGTGTCTGTTAAGCTTGACTCCATATCTGGAGCAAGGCACATTATCTGCTTATACAATGCATACAAAGAAGTAGACGTCTCCAGCTGGACTTCCCAGTAACTGCCCAAGCTAAGCAGCAAGAAGACACCGAGACGTGCACTGTTTCTTAAATCTCACCTCTCTTGAGCTACAGGTGCTTAACTCTTAGTAACAGGGATGAACAGTCAGGAGCAGCAGCTCCCAGCCCCTTCCCTGGCTCAGGTGCCCATTCTAAGTTTCAAAGAAGACAGTCGGGACATGAGTGGATGTCACCCTTTGAACACACAGCTGGAGAAAGGCTGGTTACAAAAACTGAAAAAAACCCTCATAATTCAGCACAATTTCAGGAGGTGAGAAAAAACTGCTATTCCATCTGAAAGGTTTCACATAGTCCTTGCTCTCTTTCTGACTGCAAAACCCAACCAACGGGCTGTAGACAACTCTCTACCGGCCTTGCTGGAGCAGTGCTACTTAAGAAAGAAGGTCTACATTCACAGAACCAGAGAGAAGGAGCAGCAGAAAATAAATTACTGAAGTCCACTCATCAAGACAATTACTTAAGAGAAGCTGCCTGGTGCCTGTTTCTTGCTCAGAGAGATGGTCATGTATTTTCCATTAAATGGTTAGGTAAAAAAGTTAAAATTCAAGTTTTGTAGTTTCCTTTTTTTTTTTCTCCCCCTACTGAATCAAAAGGATTTTTGGAAGCTTCCTGGTTGAGTTTTTCCTTTTTTTGCAGGGATCAAACAGAATACTCTGAGTTCAGGATATACTGAGAATTATTTAAGAACTTTAGCAGACCTGGAAAAGCCATAAAGGAGACAAGGATGGTAGAAATCAGGGAAGGACTTCTACGTGAGGACTAACTGAGTGTGGGTTTGTAATCCTCAAAAAGAGGTAACTGTGGGGCCCATAGCAGAAGCCTGTGTAAGTTCCTCATAGGAAATAATGAGGTATAAAATGAAATTAGTTCAGAACAAACAAGAGGAGCAGTACTGTGATGTAGTTAATTTGAGTAACTCATTGCCACAGGATGGTCCAAGGCAGCCTATCTAAGAGACAATTATGTCAAAACCAGATAAATGACTCTTTCTTTACCTTACAATTGTAATTAATAGAACATTCCAGTGGGAGTACTAGGATTAGTAGTCACGCCTATCTTATCAGCAATTAAATTTTTCTTAGTGAGGCCTCTTTTGCTTTGCTTGCAAAGAAAGACATTTCTAGAAAAGCAAGTAGAAAAGATTACAGCGTTGCACTGGTTGAGACCTCGCTTGAAACGAATTGCATCTCCCCAAACACATATTCAGCTGAGTACCTCTCTGTTTACTTCCCTCAGCACATGAGAATGGGCTTGATTGCACAGGAGAGCCCTATAACACTTTTTGAGAGAGGGAAACGAAGTTTGCTCATACAAACTTCTTCTTGTGGCGTATCCAGAGATACAGCACAACCTCGAGCTAACGCCTGAGGAACTGAAAGTCTACTATCAATGCACAATGTCTCCATCTGCTGATTGCTAACAGAGATTTCCATACCCTTTTGCATAACCCGATGGAAAGCACGCTGCTGATGCTGTGACAGATGGACGCCTGTTTCCAAGCGGGAAGCAGACCTTTTGTTAAATCTGGTCTCTAAGTACAGCATTGCCTAGCAACTGTGGGAAATGGAGACAAGCCAAAGCATCAGAGAACATTTCACCTGGTGCAGCTTGGGGCTTAGAGTTTTTTTCCTTGGTTGTTTTTTTGTTGGTTTTTAAACCCCAGCTTAATCCTGTGTAAAACAATATTGGGTGATTTATGTCTTGTCATCATAGAAGCAAATGATGTTCTCACAGGAGGAGTGTCAGGACAACATTTCCCAGAGAACAGCACCGATTCACTGAAATTCAGACCCAGTAGTGAATGAGATGGAAAATACCCTTATCTGTTTGGGTCTTTTGTTACAACTTTGTCCTAAATCTTCATCATAAGGAGTCACTAGCATTACATATATGCCAACATTAAGCCCATGGTGCTCCAAAGGTGCATCAGCACGGCAGCACTGCTATTCTACCTCTCATCCCCTGTAGCAGCACTCAGTCTCTCTCTTTCCTCCTTCTTCTTCTTTCCCAGAGATATTGCAGAGTATGAGCTGAAGTTCAATGGTGACTAATTCATAGTTTATGTCCCCAGAAGATTCTGGGCTAAATAACCTCTCTTTGGCAAGTGTCCATGTAGCAAATAACTTTGTTAGTACTTCTATGCCAGCAACACCAAACCTCTTCACACAGCCTTGAATATGAAATCATGGATAGCTTGAATTGCTGTCTGAGTGATCTAAGGCAGCTCACCTGGATTTCCTCCATGCACCGCTTCCCTATACTGAAAACTCCAGGGCATATTTTGTTTAGCATTGACTTGCCAGAAAAAAATCTTTATATGTATGCAAGAGGAAGACAGAGCTAGAGGAACTGCATATGGTTTTATATGATTACTAATGTGTATTTAAACAGTTGAGAAAATGAGGCCTTTCCCAGAAAAAGTATTTGCTTTTTCCGTATATGTCTAGGGAATACGTATTTTAAGTTGGATCAAGGTAAACTCTAAGCTGAGCCCAACTGCCTCAACATACTCTAGTGCCAGCTGCAGCAACACCGGTTAGCTGAGCCCCAAAACCACCTGAACCGCCCTCAAACACCTGAACCTTTCTGTAGCCAGGGCCAGGTGAGAGAGCACAGGGCACCTGGAGTGGCACCAGCCCGCTCTGGCAGGGAAATGCGGGGTCCCCTGCCATGTCTGCTCCTAGTATAATGCAGGGAGTTCTGACTTCTTATTTGCATATAATATAATGCCAACTATCTCCTCGGCGCCCTACCAACATTTAAGCCAGTGCACGCACGCCTGCACTCTCCTGCTGGGTTCAGTCTGACTTGCACCACGTCAGAGACATTGAGCAGCAAACCATAAGTACGTGCGGCATCTTGCCTACCGAAACAAACTCTGCTTTAATACGAAGCAGTCAAATCAGTAGGCAAGTGCACTGTGTTTCAGCATGTTTTTAATACTTTTAAATATGAAATATATAGGAAAATAAAAACATCTAGCACTTTGTGGGCAGGGCAGGACAAGCTCTAAGTAAAGCACTGATCATTGCCGCACATACGCTGAAAGCACATCTGTGACTGCTGTGTGGCACATAAACACCCAGGCTAACGCTAAACCTGAATCAACTGGGTTATTAATAACAGCACAACTGGGTCAGCAGTGTACTGAGTGTAGAATGATTTATCATGTTTCCTGGGAAAGTTTGCAGCCTACCCTAAGCTTTCTGCAGTTGTAACTAGACTGCCGTTGAACAGGAGTTAGGTGATGCAGAGCTTATGCAAATAATCTCTGCACAACAGCTATTGAAACACCAAGGTGTTCTTGATTTGTATTATGTTTAGGTCAATAAAGGAGGATGCTAAGGCTTATATCTGGATTCAGGGGCCTAAGCTTCCTGATTTGGTCTCAAAAATTAGAAGTTTTGTAAAACATGCTCTGTTTGAGAGATGCCTACTATACTCAGTGAAATCCTTTAAAAACATGCAATTTCTGTTGTATCTTTATCTAAAGGGAAAGTAAGTCCCTTTTACACTAGAACTTGATGTAAAACAAGAGAGCAAGGTTTTTGGTGCAGTATTTGATTTCAGAGGTGTGATATTGTTAGTCGGCTGCATAGCCAGCCTTGCCAGCTGCCTCCGTCTGCATCAGCCCCTTGACAAAGGGCCCGTTCTGGTTGATTGATGCATTGCAATATTGAGTACTACATCATCTGACTTCTAGGCACATAAACCAGTTAGTGGACTTGATACCAGGTTGGTAACTACTTATTTTGTATTTGTGTGAAGATTTATAGGCTGAAGCATTAGAGAAGTCCGCACTCTGCATGAGATGCTCACTCAAAGTAGGCAAAGTCAGGCTCCTTTTCATGACTGGAGAAAGGATTTACAGACTGAAACACCTTCCTGAAGGTTGATCCTAAGTACTTTTCTCTCAGTAGATGGATGATGGTCTCCTTCTACCAATACTCTGGGTTAAGTTCTCGCTGATAAGCCTCTATTCTAGTCTTTTTTCTTCCTAAGGAGATTGGTGGTCATGTTTTCTTCCTCTCTAAGAGCTCTCCAGCTAGTAGGCTGCAGCATATTCAATTCCATACAGCAGGAACCAAAATAGTTTTGGAAACTTTTGGTCTAGAAATATGGCATCTGAAGATTTGAGATATCCTCCCATCCCTGCCCCCGGAACCATGCCGTAGATGAGGAGAGATTTTGAAGATCGGCTTTTGGTTCTAAGCACAGAAAAAGGGATTTAGTCTTTCTATTCCTAACTGTTTAACTGTATTTTCAACATAAATCATGCTTTGCTTTTGATTTATAATATGAAACACACTCTTTTTTTTTTTTGGTCTAAAATACTTCGGAATTTTTTATCTTTAAAGTCTTTCTTGTTGTTATATGGCAACAAGACCATGCACAAGATGTAATGATTCTAAATCAACATTTTCTTTGGGTGCTGTGCACTGAAACTTAACTTATTTTCCATTATTTGTCTTTCTGCAGCAAGACAAAAATTCTTATAAAACAGAACAATTGTAATAGTATTCTGACAAGTCCAATTTATATGGTACATTGTCACAAAAGAATACCTAAGAAAATGGAGAAAGGCCATACAAACCTACTAATATGCTTTAGAAACTCCTTGCAGGAGCTAGAACAACATACTATTAAAACTCCAAATACCTATTCAATATATGTGTTTTTAAAGAAAACTTTATAAATATGCAAATTTAAGATAAACAAATACAGAATAAAATGCACTAAGAAACTGATATGTAGACAAAGGTTTATTTACACCATACAACATTTTAAATATTTTATACACAGCTGCAGCAGAGAAAGCTACTCTGAGCTTTCCAGAGAAAACTGCAATAATAAAGATGTGAAATATATTATTCATATAAAAGTGAGATTATTACTTTATTGCATTTAAAGCAATGAAGAATGTAGCTCAACAGACATTCATTTAATGACAAAAACTTTGCTTTTATATTATAAAGTAAAAAGTGTAGTAATGGCCAAACAGACTGTTATAAACTTTAAAAACTGCATAAATATATACATTGTGCTTCATGGTGAAGTTTTTTGAAAACTAAACCAAATGAAGCTGTTACAACATGAATCGTTGCTTGAGGTTTATCTATAAAGATTACCTTACAAATCCATTCCACGGGTACTTACAACACATGATGGTAAGAATTGTACACCTGGTTCTCCACTAGCTGCACTAGCGGGAATATACTGTACGAAAAAAACCCACTGACATTTGGCACAGGAAGAGCCTGACATAAAGTAGTCACAATGTTCAGACAGGAGCGTCAGGATTCCCAAAGTCTCTTTATTGTCAGTGCAATGAATTATTTTTGTTTTGTTTTGTTTTTGTTTTGTTCAGTTTGTTTTTGTTAAACTTCTGTTTGAAAGTCACCTTCTTGCACATCTAAAGGCAAGTTCAGACACTTCTCCCATTCTGCTGGTCTGAGTTCTAAAGCATCTTTTGCCTCTGTATCTAATACGTTTATCGTTGTATAGTGTTGGTAGTCGCCTGTGGTTTTGAAACTGTCCCATGGAGCCTTGCCTGGTGCTGAGTTCTCCTGAAGACCAAAGAAAGAAGAATTAAAACCAAGGATGAAATAATGTGTTTTCCATTTATACGGCTGATCGCTAAAGTGCTCTCATGAGACACAGAAGCCGGAGAGGGGAAATGGCTTTGCAGGGAGCCAGGCTGGCGGGTGTTCAGCACCGTTGCGACTCTTTCTCTGTGAACAACCAACATTTTGGCAGGCTCCTCACCTGAGCTGCCAGCTAAGCCCTTTCTTTCACAAGAACCAATGTACGTGAGGAATGGCCAAGTGATCCAGTACCAATGGACAGCTTTTTAATAGCGGTCGTGTCGGAAAGTGGGAGAAGAGAAAGGAAGGTAATTCAGAAGAGCTTGCTGCCTGAAAAAATGGAGTGGTTTGAAACAGAGATTGCCAGCTGCATTTTAAATTGGGGCAGGTGCATGGCAGAACCACGGAAACCTAGCCCTCGAAAATGCTGTGAGAGCCACCTTGCTTTACAGGCTGATGAGCTCACGCACATTAGGATTAACAGGCTGAAAGGTGGTTATTTTCTACTGAATGCATTTTTTTTGAATGTTAACTTTCATAGGGTAAAAGACGTTATGGACTAAGACCAATTTAATTAGTGATTTCTCCTGTAACATGTTAGGTGGGACTTAATTGCCGAAATCTAACATTTTTGTGCCATTTTAGATGCCTTTGGATTTTCTGCTTGATCTCCAACTATCGTTCAGGAGAGGGGCAGGTCTCCTTTGCGCCCAGTGTCATCACTGTACCGTGCTGTCGACTAAGACACCTGAGGCTGTCTAAAATAGCCTGAGATGCCTATATTAGGTACCTGGATCACTCTCTGACTGTCTTACAGATGGACCATTCCTCTAGGCAGCTTTTATTAGCAGACCTTTCAAAAACATAGCGCTGATGTGAAACAGGGTAAACACAACTCTTCCACTGAGATTCCCTTTGAGATTTTGAATTAACTCAAGCTTTACGCGGGCAGCAAATCTCAAATAGGGAGGTGAATGCAAACTTTACATGTCAGCAAATCTCAGAAGGGGGAGTGAGCGAGAACTGGGTGCAAAATAACACATATCACAGCTAAAGGTTCATCAAAGAATCAGGGCCAAATTTCTGCTGGATTAAGATGATGTAAATGATGTAAATCCATTGGCCTCACATCTGCTTAATACCTCTTCTTCATGTCTGAGAGCAGCTCTTCTGAAAAAGTTATAGAATACAATGATTCTAGCTCAGTTCCATTTAACATACAATTTTCACGTTATAAAATTATATATAAAATTATTACTAATCATAATATTACTGCTAACAAATATGTCACACTAAATTAGCTGTTTTAATTAGGCAGAATCAACTATTTCCTCGCTCTCATTATCAGATGTAGTTAGGGTGTTATGCATGTGTGTATGACTGTGTGTGTATAAATGTGAATTATGGTGATAGCAGAGTCAACTCAGGATGATTTAATTTTTACTTTTCCCATGGTAAATATTTATAAACCTATTACGGAAAAGACACGGCATTACAGAGACCCTGTGTACTTTCTGGACCGTCCCACGTATAGGTGAACCTAGCCGGACTTGTTTGTAGCAACTAATTTCGTACCTGCTTGCCTAGCTAGAGGAAAAGCCCTATTGGCCAAACCACACCAGTGAGCTGCCTTCGCTATATACAGTCCTGTAGGCTTGCTAGGCACATACAGATTTGAAATGTGTTCCGTACACTTCAATTACTTGTCATCTATAATGATGTCACTGAGTTAGTTACAGTCAAGTTGTAAAACCTAATGAGGCTCGTCATAGGTTAGATTACTGAAAATATCTTTTGTTCTGAGTTGTGAGGCTATCTAAAAGTAGCGCAGGCTGAGGTCTTCTTGGGAAATATACTGAATTCAAAGGACTCTTGTTTCATTGTTGTGGTTAAGGATCCATCATATTTAAATATCTAAGAAGGAAAACTTACCATACTGCCTGATTTTGGTACATCCCGAAATCTGTCCAGCGTCTGAAATTTCTGATTTAACTCTTGAAACAATTCCATGTGCCTCTTTCTTGTATGCATGACCTTCTGCAAAATGGAACATAATTGCTTACATTTATAATTGAATCTGGGCTTTTTTAAGAGAAGCATTATTTTCCTCAACATAATAAAGTAAATTGAATTTGGCAGGGCTGTCTTTTCCCTATAGACTCCACCAATGGAAGTGAATTGCGCTGAGCCTTCTCTCTGCTCTGTTTAATGTTCTTCCTGTGTACAAGAGACTGTTTTTACCCCACGTTTATTGAGTTGCTGAAATTAAGGGACACTGTTTTTGTGCTACCCTAAAAGTATTTTGAAAGTGATGGCAGTTTCTCAGAAGGATATTTCTCTTGCACATTAGGAATATTTTCTAGAATTTCTGTTTTCAGCATGGATGGTAATATTTTAATTTCTATAGGAATGCAACAGCAGTTTGTAATGGTCCCTATTGGAATACTTTTTATGAGAAGACTGAACTCAGAAATCTTGGCCCAAAATGGAACAGCTCCAAATGTGATGTCTTTTCAGTTAGACTTCTTCTTGTCATTCAGTTCATCATAAAATGCAGTCAAATGGCATTTGTATTAAGAAAAGTAGGTGCAGTTTTTCAATTTTACTTGCTTTCTTATGTCATGGACTGGGCAATTGGAAACCATGGTCCCTCTAGCCCATGCACAGGGCACTCTTCAACAAAAGCTAATTACGTGGCAGTCCTGTGCAAGAGGTGGGGACCCCAACCAGCCCCCACAGTTGGAGGAGACCCCCAGCCACATATTTGCCTTGGCAGCTTCATGGAGAGTGAAGCCTGTTTTCAAGCCTAGACTGTCGAGCCGGCCATCTGCATTGTTTCCAAGCAGGTTCACACTCAGGTCTGGATTCAGACCGGCCCCTGGAGCAAAGCTGAAGGGTGCTTACTGTTCAACCATCCTCACGGTTCTGTGGTCTGGGTGGACAGGGGACAGGAGGGGCTGAGGTCGCTTCACCTCAGTCCAACAGCAGATGGGCTCAGCTTGGCTTTTCTTAAGCTTTGGTAACTGCTTGAACTTGAGTCAGAACCAAGGCAGCAGCCAATAATGTTGATAGCAAAGGTGCAGGACACCAGCATCTATGCATGTCCACTCATTTTCAACCCTGATTTTCCCTGGCGTTGTATATGACAAACCCTGCAAACTTACGCATGCAGTGCCTGAGTGTGACCCTTCCCAGCAGGTAACACTTCTGCCAAGTCTGGGTTAGTACCTTTTAAAACAGACTGGCAGTAGCTGACCCCCAAATAATTTTTTACCAATACTAATTTTAACTCTTATCTTTCATTTGCATTCTGTATTTATAAGTTTTATGAAATCTGGCTGGTCTCTTGGCCATGCATTTCTACTGCTACGTTGTAATAACTGTATCATCCTTAATAGAGAAGAACTTGTTTCACTCCTGAGAACAGGAAATTGGCAACATTATTCACAAAAGAGACATGAGATACAGAAAGCGATTAAAGACCTATTAACTTAACGTGAATTGTGGGGTGAATAAGGGAAACAATTTTGCAGGATGTGGTGAGGAACTCCTTGCAAAACGTAATTTAACTCGAGATAGCTGATCTAAATTTGTGGAGGAAGTTTCACTTAAGTGACTTCCTAGGCATTCTTTTAAGCTATTGCTGTTGTGGTAGACAGGGATATGTAGCAAGTTTCATACACCTAGAATTTAAAAAAGAAAGATTCTGCCTCAAAGATTATTATTGGCTGAAATAAGGAGACATGCTGAAGGGAATAAAACAGATTTGATGGGTTAAAATACTGGCTCTAAAAGCAGGAAATAACATATGACTGTGAAACAATATCTCCAGTTGGAAACTTTTTAATAGAAGGCTAGGAATATAAAGAATGCTACTTTCTGATATTTTTCTGAATTGTGTACCCAAGAATTCGTTAAATAGCAAATATGAATAATGCAAATGTCTTACTCAGTTCATTACATTATTCCTGAAGAGAAGCAGGTGGGAGGAGAAATTAAACACTTGCAGTGGGAAGTCTGCCAGAAAAAAAGGCTTTAAATTTTATTCTTAATAGCAGAATGACTGGTATGCACATGTACCTATGGATCTTTTGGTTGCTTTGTGTTTCCCTGGCTTCCATTCCCTAATTCCTACCCACTGACACCCACCCCTTCCCACTGCTTATAAAGAACGATCTGAACTGAATGTGCAGTAACTTAAATTTCTAACTTTAACTCTTCTTCTCTAGACTTCTTTTAAAATCCTTGTTAGAAAGCACCATCTTATCTCCTTTCTAGAAAATATGTTCTGTTGGGTAACTTTCTTTTACAAAAAAATAACCCACAAAGTATTTGTAGGGGTTTAATCTGTTTTCTCTATTAAATGGGCAATGTGGAAAATATGGATCTCAGAAATACCTAAGTTTTATCAATTCAGAGCTGGAGATCTTGACCAACATATACTAGGATGATTGTAGCAGCATCAGGACCTGAGCAGGATGCCCTTGGGAAGCACCTCTTCTTTAGGTGCAGCGGGGGATTTGCCCCTTAATGCCGCATCCCCTCCAGAAGCACCTGAGCTAGCCACCAGGCTATGGACACATCTTCTTCTGGTCTTTCCTGCAGGCTCCGTAACTCTTGTGCCCCACACCCTCAAGGGGCTCAGACTGAACTGACACTCCTTCCGCAGTTCTACCCCCACTCACAAGTAACATCCAGTGTGTGTGTTGAAAAGCCTAAGCCTTGCTCTGGTGAGCATCTGCTCTCAGAAGAGGATTCAGAGTGTGGACGGCTATCATCAAGATGGGAAGGATTTCAAACATAACTCTGTACTCAGCTCCCTTTTTTATTTATGACAGGGTTTTAGCTGAACTCAAGCACAAATAGTCTCATGAAGATCTGTGGTCAGTCTTATGAAGAAAAATAATGGTAATAATAATAATAATAATAATAATGATAATAATGTCATTCAATTTGCCTTGGAGATTTCCTATACTGTCACAGGTAAAAATGCGCGCTCTCAAATATTGTACAAACTAGCTAAGTGAAAAGAACAGATCGGGGAATGCCTTCCCAGCCCTATAATGGAAACATGCTGTGTTTTCAAGATGTTACAGGTATGATCAGTTGCCAAACTTAGGAACGGGAAAGGATTTTTTCCCTGCAGGCATATTTTTTTCCACCTTTGTCTTTGAGAGATGTCTTCAGGTTAGTAAGAGAACAATTTTAAACTTTCGTGTGAGTTTATAATGTTGTTATAATGAACAGCTATTGCAGATGAAATTCCGAAAGAATGCAGCTCCAGCAATTAATGATCAATTTAGCATTATTGCCAGTGAGAGTCTACCGCTCTGTGGAAAGCAAAGAAGACATTCTGGTATTCACACTTGTCCTGTGCATCCTTGCTCTCCCTCACGGATGGAGCTCAAAAAACCCCAGAGATTACTTCAGTCCTGGGGAGCAGGGCAATAAGGCACCTTTCTGAATTATTTGGCACCTATGTTATTACCAGAGCAGATCAAATGAATGCCTCATGGAGAGGGGAGTGTGGGGTGGATGGCTGAGGACATCCAGGAGTCAGACCTTCTCACAGAATTTAGAGATAATTGTGATCTTGAATCCTAAAATGCATGTCAATAATACTGTTTAACTCTCTTGTATGTTTTTGTAAGTGTCAAGCACACTTATTATAAAGTCCTCCTGGGAATTTCCACAGCATCTGTATTTCTGTTCAACATAATTAGAATGATTTTTATTTGATCTGACAGCTAAGTATTAGTGCTGAGCCTCCATGAAAAAACTACCTGTCCGGCTTTAGGGAAAAACAGAACATAATGACTGTGGTTGGAGGGCACTTTGCTGGGGTTGCCACAGCCCGCAGCAGCAAGGATCCAAAACACCCAGACCTATGAATTTTGGTGATGTTTTGGATACTGGACTGCATGAATGAGTCTAAACTAATTCTTGGTAATAGCAAGAAAAGAGCTGTAAAGTTGTTGCATGTTGACTGTTAATTTTAGCAAACTTCAAAGTTCAAATAGATTAGTGTTTTGCAAAATCTGATAGTGGACAGTATATTATCTAGCAGTGATACTTTCTGCCTACAGACTAAACCCAGCATGCTACAGTCTGTCTTCCTTTTGCTACATAAAGGGATAATTTGAGAATGTAATGGTAAACTATTTAAAAAGGGAAGATACAAGTGGCCCAGTTCTTGAGAGTCTCCTCTCTAAGATCTATTACAAGAGCTGGCCAGTTCAGATCTCATTTTTTTCTCTCTCCTTTTCCATTGACTGGAGACATAAACTTTCTGTAGCACTACCCATAAGTCACAGGACTCTTATTATTTATAGCCCATTACAAAGGCCCTTAAAACTACACATGTATTTCTACATACATTGGAGATAACTGGGACAGAGACTATTTTATGGCATTGAGAACAGTCATGGTCTGTGTTCACACTACATAGCAGCTGGCTTTGAGTTTCAACTGTGGCCCTCAGAGAAAAAAAATTGCTCTTCATATGTTTCTTTTTTTTTACTTCAAATTGTCTGTATTAAGGTAAGTGTTGCATTGCAACCCACTAGCACAGTCTTTTTTTCTTTTTTTTAAAACAGTGAAAGTGTGACTCTACTGTAGTACGTCAAACATGTCCAAGATGATTCTCCAACACCATCTAGCATGGAATGTTCTCCATGAATGTTACAAATTTCTCTTAGTCTCCAAAATAAGAAGTCTACAACCAAATTGCCTGTTGTGAATGGTACCTAGATTGCACTGGTTCCCTAAGGACACTTCAGGAACTGTTTGGAGAGACAAGGGTGATCCAGACTAAAATAGTAAAGATCATTCTAAATATTCATCTATATAAAAACTGGCATTTTGGCACCCAGGAATATTCCCCCAAATGTCTTTAGTAAGATAGACATAGCTTGAGGGTTTATCTTGTATGGATATAGCGAGATGTGTGAGAGGTTGAGGCCGTAGAGGCTGCTGGGAGAGTGTTAAAAGGAAAAGGAGGGAGGGAGCCAAGCTTGACAGTCTTGTCCATACGGTACACTTAGCATTGGATATCCTCAGAACCACATCCATAGCATTTGTTATCCTCAGAACTGCGGAAAGACGTTGTCTCAGAGAGCGCCAGCTGGCACTGGTTACAGACAGAGCAGAGAAAGTGTTAAACATTTAAGTAATATGGCCAATCACTCTAGCTTGACCTCACCTCCAGGCTCTATTCTAGTTTGCAGTCAAGCTGCTTTGAAGTATCAGAATAGCAATGTTTTGGCAACACAACACTATCTCAATTCCTTTCATCAGTATGCCTTGCTGAACGAAGGAATCCAGATGGCTATTTGAACATTTTGTGGCTTTTTTATTTTGCTCTACCTCAGACAGCCAGCCACGCTATGTGTAAGAACACAGGAAAGCCCACAGGCTTAATCAGAGGCACCATGAAACAGGGAGGTGAGATGGGGTTAGTCCCAGTGGGTACTTCTAAAACACAGCAGCAACTGGCACAGTATCGTTGCCGCTCTCACTTCTTCAGCAGTGACTCCCAATGGCCCCATCCTTCCCTTTTTACAAATAAATATATTTTCCTGCTTTGTAATCACACTTCTAAAAATATGAGGCCACGGAGCAACAATACTGCAAACGAGACAAGAAAAAGGTGTAAGCATCTTAAATACACTATGTGAGTCAAAAGAAAATATGTAACGGGAGGCCTGATTCTCGAGAGCAGAATGTGTATAGCATTGTCGGTGTTTATTTGGTGTTGGATTATGCTTTCCTCAGTGATAGGAAGAATATTTTAGTATCTGTTGCCACAGAGAATGTTCTTATTGTGAATGGCATGCTATTCCTACCTTTCAATAAAAAACAGTAAAATTCAGAGTTCTTTGTATCACTATAATTATAAAACTTCTATTCATATTGCTTTCATTTAATTTCAGAATTTCTTGCTCATCAGAATTCTATTGTCAATTCATGTTTTCCTTTTTCCTTTCTATGCATTTATCCTAAAGCATATTTAGGATAATCTTTGCATTATATTTTCCTTAAACTTACTGTATGAATCTTTGTCTGGTGCATTATTTGAGCCATTACATGACTGCTTAAGGTAACTATAGCCTCTGGGGGAAATGACATAGGAGATTAAGGCACGATGTTAAACTACCAAGAAACCACAATCAGACACGGAAGGTCAGCACTTCAGCAAAAGCAGGTCACCAAAGTAAGCCCATCTCTCATTGCAAGGCTTCTACGACCACTGCTATGGCTGCATTTTGCCAGTTCTGCCTCTTTCTTTTCTATGGAGTAGAATCTGAAAGTACATGTCCTGTACTGATAGCGCAAAGAATAGCGAAAATTGCTTTTGTTTGCACATGCAAACAGGTAGGGTAATTTTTAAAGTTGTGGTTGATAAGTACTGATCACTGGTTGCTAAAGTTTAGCTGAAGATCTGTAGGTTCCAGGCAAATACGATTGTTCAACTTCTCTGGAGACACACATAATGCATTATATCAAAATATTAATATGCATGAACAGCCAACCTATGCAAAACCCCTAAAGCCATAAATTAACATCCCCTTGAAAACTAACTGCTGTATTGCTTCTGGTAGAGCAGAGAAAAAACCCTCAAATAAACAAAACTCTGAGAGACTTAATCATACTGACAGAGAGAACAAAATGGTCATTAACTAACACAACCAAACCTTCTCACTCAACGGGGTCTAAGTTTGAAATTATGGATATTCAACCTAAAGAACCTTACATGAACTTGATTTTTTATATAGCATGTGATCCATAAGCTTTGACAACTGGAGCACTCCATCGTTCAAAATCTGACACATTCTTAATCACTATTTGGATGTGAAACTCTTATGTCAGTAAATTAGTATCGAAGAAAGAGAGATAGAACAAATGACTGAGAATCTCTTGGAGAAAGCAACCTTCTGCAGCGATGTGGCCTGTCCTACAGAAGTGTCACACTTTTTGAATAGATAGATAGCCAGCAAAAAAAAAACCACAACAAAACAGAAACAAACCTAGATGAAAACTGCAGCGATGTGGCCTGTCCTACAGAAGTGTCACACTTTTTGAATAGATAGATAGCCAGCAAAAAAATACCACAACAAAACAGAAACAAACCCAGATGAAAATGAAGAGGCAGAGAATTTAAAAACTGAAATCATGATGGTTAATATTGCAATATGACAGCTTGATCTCAGACTATTTTACAAACAAGTTGCACCAAAGTAGTTTTAATGAATTCCTCATCATGGTCTGTACAGTATCAACTGAACAACCCTATGAAATCCACTACGTCAGAAGGCTAAAAACTGCTAAAATGAACACTTCACATTTACTTTTAGGAAAATATTTTTAATAATCAGGAATAATTCAGTAAAACTTACTTCAAAGTCAAGGTCCGAATAACGTGATTTTCTTCTCTATTAAGCAGTGAAAAAGAAAGAAAAAAGAGGTTGTATTAACAAGGGGACTATTCACCAAATCATATTAATGAGTCTAAACAACATTCTTGTTTTCCTATCAGATATTTATTAGGTATTCTGTATGAGCTTGTAGATTTTATCTTGATAATTTAAGATTAATGCATGACTTTGCATACAGTTTATTAGACCAGTATCATATTCTTTTTTCTGAAATAAAGCAGACTGCATTTCACTGGGATGCATAATGTGCATGTTATTTGCATGCAATTGAACCTGTTGGTGTATAAAATATATCTATTTCTATACTTTCTGTGGTATTTGAAAATTATTGTCATATTAATACTTTTTACACAGCTATCTATACATATATATGATTTAGATTTTTATAGGTATACAGAAATTGATTGTTTCCTACATCAAGCTTACATTGGTACAACTCCATTGATTTTAATGGAATAAATGATAGCAAAATCAAGCCGAAGCCATCTACACTTTCCACAGCTTCAGCTTGTTTGCAGTGACAATCTGGATGGAGAAAGCAATGATTTTGTTTTACACTTATGACAAATCTGATTCAAAGCATCTGATATAAAGCAAGAATGATTTACTAGTGAAGTAATCGCTTGTATACAATGCAAAGCAATATGATTGCTTAGAAATATCACAAATAATTTAGCACAGAATTTTTTGCAGATTCTAAAAGAAACCAATTATACAGTCAAATTGTGTCAGAAAGAAGTAGAAATATTATAAAGAAGAGATAAAAATATCTTTTTTTCTTCTGAGGTTGGAAACTGAAAGCCTTGCAATAGACCAAAGAGATGTAGAAAGAAGTAGCTAGCTTGGAAGAGCTGAAAAGAGTGAAAGAACATGCAAACAGAAAGAAAAGATACATTCCCCTTCAGGAAGGAGAGTTAAAGGAAGGGAAAACGACACCAAAAAAAAAAAAAAAAAAAAAGCTTGCCGCTAACAATTAAACCCACCTTTTTAAAAAGGATTGCTGCTACAATTTAACCCTACTTTTTGTGGTAGGATAGGATGGCTTTAAGTCATGGTGACGGAACCTTTTCACATTGCATCTAATTTCTGCAAATCAAACCCATTAAGTCAAGATAAATAATGTTACTGACTTCATTAGACTTTGATTTTAATTGCTTTAATAAACATGCAGGTTTTAGTAAACTGTTCTGTTTTCTTGCAATTGAAAGGAATAATTTTACAAGTCTTTCAGTTGTGGAAAGCAGAAAATATTTGGTCTCTGAGCCCTTGATAATACCACTTTGTGACATGTTTGTCTGGTTTTGTAGTAAAATTTTGATGCTCCAATTCACAATAATATGAAGAACATCACTGTAGCACTGTCGACACTCTGATGTCTAAAGAGCTGGGGGGCTTTATAGTCTATAGTCTATAATACAATTAAAACAAGGAACAACAACAAGCTTTGGAGAAGCTATCTTTAATCAGTAAGGCTTGATTTAACCTAGCACACTTTAAAGAGAGTATTTAAAAATAAATTAAACAATTCTGCAAAAATAAGTATCATGAAAACATGGAAACAACAAAGGCCTTGGAGGTAAGGAAAGTATGAGGGTATATGATTTACAAAATTGGAGCATTTGTATTTTGCCTTAAGTCTGCTTGACCACAGTGAAAATATTCCTGGCACAGCTGGATTAATAGGTTTTGCAGCCAGACGACTCTATCACTGTTTACATGGTAAAAGGACATATCTACCAGAGTGCAACATATTTAGCTGTGCTACTGTCAGAAAGAGGTAATCATCGCAATTTTACTGTTAGATCACACCAGTTGTGACCAAACAGGTCACACCACAGGTTTATCTCAGTGAGGATTTTTCTAGGGCTCAACAAGAATCTATCACAAACACATTTATTTTAAACTCATACAGTAAAGAACATCTGTTCTGTGCTTGTGCTTCACTTTTTTCCTGCAGCTGCATATGGTGAAATACAGCACAAGTGCTGTCAGAGCCTGTTCTCTTAATACTTCAAAAGTAGGTAACTGCCACAGGTCTGAATAGAAGCAGCAAAGTTCTGTGAGTTTCTGAAAAGCAAAGGATGCTGGTTATGAATGTGACCCTGCACCCTGGAAAGTTATTTGCAATATTGTCACTGACACCACCAGGTACATGACCAGGTCCTCCTGGCTACTACGTCATTGCCTTGAAATGATGGCAGTGTTGTTCTTTGAGAGAGGGAACATATTCAGAAGCATGAAGTCATTGGGAATCTTACAAGGATGGAATAGTTTCCCTTTGGTTCCAACTGGAAGTTGTCATTTCACTAAATTCTCCTCCTAGTTTCTGTATGATATGCAACAAGCCTAAACCGTGCAAATCATCACTTTAATTGTGATTGTATACATACTTTTTTTCTTATATGAAATTTATTTATTACATCTCTTTTGGTTGAGAAAGATGAGGTTTTCCACTCATATCTAAATGGTTTGAGAAATCAACCATCTGGCTCATTCTACAATTCTACAATGTGACATTTCTGCTACAATACCCTCCCTAGTTTTTCAGTAGTTTAGGAACCTCCTTGGGAGGAGCTTACTCTGTTGAGCTTAATAACACTTTTTTACATTATTCCATTAATCTCATCATGTTTTATAATTATTCCTAATTTTGACATCCAAAATGTGCTGGGGTAGTGAATTCCACAATTTAGATATGCATAACATGACAAAGGAAATTCTATTGTTTATCCCTTTGCCATTTCATTTGATGCTCCTATTTCTTATATTACGGGAAATATGAATAATTGTTCCCTATTCACTATTCGGTCATCTGTTGTCCAAGCTGAAGAGCTCTAAATGCTGGAGACCTGCAAGGGTAACTAATAACGGGACCGCCTAAAAAGCTGAAGACGCATGCAGTTATTCAGCGGCAGGGATCTAGCTGGTATAATTCTGAAAAAAATAAGAGGTATGGGTAAGCAGTGAACTGCAACCCATTCACAGTTACAAATGCTACAACAAAAAGCTCACGTCTCCATTTAAGCGGGCAAGGGAGGGAATAGCCCTCTCCGAAGACAGCTCTGCACGGGCACTCTCCACTGACAGCACCCAAATCGTGCCTGTGAACTGTGGAAACTTCAGAGGAGAGCAGCAAAAAGTACTTTTGAAGAGTTAATGACACTGGGTCAAGAGGAAAGGATAAAAGAGTGATACAGCTTGTTTAAACATTGGCTCTGGAAGAGGCAAATGCAAAAGCTTGTTCAGAAACCTGAGAAGGATATAAACACTGATAAACAAAGCTGGTGTGAGAAAAACCTGAAAAGTTGTAATTCAGAAAAAAATAGGAAAAAAAAAGGAAATTTCAGAGATGCTGTCAGGAATAAAGAAAGTTTATGCAACTATGCAATAATCTGCTAAGGGAAACAGTGGAAGCCCTTCACTCTAGTCTTGAAAGTGAAGTTTGACTATGTGTTAGAGAAATGTACCGCAGAAAATGTTCTTGCTTTGGTGGAAGAGATGACCTGACAAGATTTTTTTTCCATCTCTGATTTCTACAGTTCTTTGATCTTAATTTATAAAATCTATTTTATGGAGAAAACTCCCCCACCCCACCCCCGCTTCATGCCAGGACCAAAGTGAAACTCTGTGAAAAGAGGTTTGCAGTAGTAATTTACTTTAAATCAAGTTTACTTTGTGCTAATGGTGTACAGCATCTCTGTGTAATTCCAGAGCGACTCTAAACTCTGCTCACTGAGGGACAAAAATAGAACACTGAAGCAGATTGCCATACACCAGCACGTACTAATCCGCTGGCACCAGGAAAGAGCTGCTCTCACTAAATGACTAATAAAATCCCTCTCCATCTCTGTAAAATGACAAATGCCTGGTTTGCTCCTTATTCTAGTCTGCGTTACACCACTACCTGATTAATTACACGAGATACTCCTGAAGATATATTGCATTGTGCAAAGTGTAATTGAAACCAGAGATACCATATTATAGTGAGGGCTATAACCATGCTTCCATTAATATAAAGCCTTATTATCAGCAGTTTATAATTCACTCTGAGATTAGATTTGACATACAAGATCTTAGCCTGGGGAGGACTTTTTCCCAGAACAAAATTAAAGGAAAATCTTCTTTGGCCCTCAGAGATATAAAAGTGGAACGTAGATAAACAGTTTTGATTTTAAATGCCTTTTGTGTGTCTGTAACTGAAAAACTCCTTAGTTTCTGAATAGAAGATTATGTTGGCTGTTAGTTCATAACATGAACTAGACATAAAGCAAGTAAATTTTCATGAAAAAGTGAATTAGCTCTTTAATGCGAGAATTTTAAGTCTTTAAAATATGCTAGCAGATTTAGCACTTCAACACACAGCACAAATGCAACTTCAGAGATCTCAATTTAAAAGTATTCTGGCAAATTATTCTCCCTTTTTTTATTGCTCCTTTTTTTTTTATAGGGTAACCTGAATATGCATTTACTGAATCAACCAAAACCACTTGTTTTGTGTTTCTGAAGGCTTTGCGGGGAAATGTAACATTTCTTAAATGGACAAGCAATTGAAAATACGTTTCTTAAGGTTCATACGTAGTTAAGATAGCTGCTCATAAGATAAAGTCTGAAATATATGCTACACTTCATAATACTGACTAAAATTTCGGTTCTTTACATCTTCAGTTACTAGAATCAACTCTGCCTGATTCTACCCCCACTCCGGTGCGGTAACCTGAAAATGAGCTGCATCAGTTTCTGAAGTCAGAGGAAGCCCAGACCTACTCGCTCAAGTGGGTTGTTAGAGGGCTAGACCTCATTTCACTGAGAGTCCCAAAATTGGCAAGAACTGTCTCCACAGCTTATTGAGGAATGAAATGAGGAATGGGAGGGATAGAAATCTGAGATACAGAATGTCTGAAAATAAATGCAATGTGGAAACATGATAAAGAGAAAATTCCTGCGGGGCTCGTCTCTCTATTTTTGTTCTCTCTCTCTTTTTTACTTCTCATGTCATA